GATTCACAAATTTGGGTGCATATAATCGTTATGATCACATTTAATTTTCACACCCACTTCACGCCCATGATCTTCATAGTAATTTTTCTAAATAAGGTAAAACTGAGGTTTATAGAACGTACGTAGAGCCTTTTACGTATATATTATATACATAAAAAAAAAATATCAAGTTCCGAGACAAAATCTATTTTATATCAAAAAAAAATCGTATGCAAACTAGTGCATAAATTTCCCGATTTTTTTTCTAACCGGAACTTAGAAACCATAGTCAAGGCGTACGTAGACGGAAATCTCCGATATATATATATTTTACAATAGCCAACACTTAGATATGCAGGGGTATATGAAAACAGGGGTGACGATCTGCATTACTTATCTGTTATAAATATTTTTTATCGTAATTTTTGACTTTTAACAATTATCATAAACATGACCGATCCTGGAAATGCAAATACTCTCAGAAGGGGTGAACCGTATGGTTTCCAGCTTCCGACTCCTAATATAAATGCTTTTGAGGAAAGTTCTGAGCCAACATCTTTTGCAGGAGGTCCGATTAGGCATCGCAAAAAACGTAATCATACAAATACACCGTATACGCGAGTTGCTAGTTCACCTAATCCAAACCCCCAAGGGACTCACTGGCTGTTGAACATTGTTAAGAAATATATCCCACAGTGGCTGAGATCGATTATATGGCCCACAACAAGGCCCACCACTGAGGATACAGCTATGGAAATAACCTCAACCGAAAACGAAACGATCACGGGGAACATTGTGCAAAGTTCTATAGAAGAACTAAACAACGCAATAGTGAAACGTGAAGAACAACCTCAACAATCACAATTGGATACAATAACAAAAATGAATTTAAAGAGCAAATTTAACAGATCAAGTTCAAAGATTGCTGCAAGATTCGGTCGTAGGATGTATTCAAACCCTCTACACAGACGAGGGACTATTCCTAGAAAAAGGGTTAATCATGTTTCAGCACGAGAAGAGGATCTCCTTTATCCGGATGAGATAAATGGATCATTATCAGATAAAGAGCAACTCCCTGAAATACCAGCGGATTGGTATAAGCCTTTCAAAAATTTGGCAGTGAACGATTCATTTTCAACATCATCATCGGGAACGTCGACACCTTCACAAGAACCGGACACAAGCAAAAAGTCTTTATCCCAAGGGCCTCCTCTTAAGAAGTTTAAATCAGATCTTGTTCCAGACATAAATTGGTTCAACTATCACCCTTCATATAAAAGAGTGTCCATTCCTGCAAGTTCGACTTCGAAAAACCAAAATATTTCTATTGATGACAATTTACCGAAGGTTCCTGTCAGTAATTCTTCGGTCACTGTTTCCAAACCAAATGATTCTGAATCATATCTAAAAAATGATGAGGAACTTAGTACTACCCCTTTGGTACCACCGAGATTCACTCAAATTGTTGATCATACAGTAAAAAATGAACATTATTATAGTGAAGCAAAGAAAAAAATTGATTTTACTACAAATGGATTAGTTAGCACTATTTCTGCTTTCACACCTATTTCAAAAGATATTTTATCGTTCAGTACTCCTGTTAATAAATTAAAAAGATCATTTAATCATAATATTGACAAACCTCTGGAGAAACCGGTTGAAACCCCAGATGTTACTGAACCAACTGTTGTTAATAATGAAATCGAAGAGACGGAGCCCACTGAAGTTCAGCCCGAGCCTGAACCTGAGCCCGAGCCTGTGCCCGAGCCTGTGCCTGAGCCTTACATAATCACAAGCGTGGAAGAAAGAAAAGATGAGGATGATAACAAGGAGGAAGAGAAAAATAAAGATGATAAAGAAAATATGGATGAGAAAGATAATGAGAGAGCAGAGGGTCAAGTGGATAGTGAATATAAAGAAGGAGAAGAAAATAAAGAAGTCCAAGAAATCGAAGAAAACAAAGAAAGCGAAGATACTAAAGATGAACAAGAGAACAAAGAGAAGGAAATCAAGGAAGACAAAAATAAGGCTTTCGAGTTTTATACACCCGTTTCTCGAGCACCAACTTTAGCTTCAAGTCCACCATCTGGCTCACCAATGGACATTGATATGGGTAATAATAACATAAACCAACAAGCCCCCGGAGTATCTATTTCAACTTTCCCCACGCAATTTAACTTTGGGCTAGGAAATCTTGGAAATGTTTTCTTTAATGATAGTAGCTTGACGGAAGTGTCATCGAGCAATATGCCTAAGCATTCTAGGTCATCAAGTTTTCGAGGGAGAATTCGAAGACATGGTAGTCACTCTGGCAATGAAGGCCGTAATTTGTCAATTCCAAAAACGGGGTCTTTCGAAGGATCAGATTTCAGCAGGATGGTGTTACCAGAGGGAAGCTCATTTAGTTTTGAACTAAAGGATACAACAACAATTCCGTCCATCCAGCCTGTATCGACATCAACAACATTTAAATTTAACCAAGAGACTCCTATTACATCTACTGAGTCTCCGTTTCAAACTAATGAGGCAACTTTC